ATTTGTCTCTCGTCTGTGTATATGTCCTTGCTGTGCTCGTTCAAGCTTTGTTTAGATTCGTTTCATGCCTTAGCGGTAGTCAGTGTGCGTGGCACTGTCGTTCTCATTGAGCTTTCTGCCCATCGTTAAAGAAATTCTGGAGCTTTGTCCTTCCAGTTCAGTGCCTGACTTATATTTCCACATGGTAGTGCAGTTGATAAGGCGTGCGAGTCAAGTTCGAGTAGAATTTCAGCCGGGGCAACTCGCTTTTCATTTTCCCTTGGCTGATGAATGAATACTCGTATGCGGAAAGACGCTTGCTCAAGTGTCCATTTAATACTTGGACTCTTCCGCAGGGTAAAGATCTTGAAATATTCTACTTTTAAAGTAGCCCTCAAAAGTTCACATCATGGCCAAATCAGGTTATGTCAGATTATCAAATATATATCTGTTAGTAATCAGTTTGATGAATGCAGTGGTTGGTAAAGTGCGGCGATCAATTTCGTTGTTTTGCAGATTCAGCTGGTTCTGCATTGGTTCAGAAGTACTGAATGACTTCACGAAATCTTGTATTCTACCGTTTTCATCTACGCCACATCGGCTTTTTTCTGTACAGTGTCCGGAGGAAACAACTGGATCTCATCCGGATCTATTTGATATTATTTGACTGACGCTGTAACAGCAGCGCTGACAAGTTTTTTGTGCATCCCAACCAGATGTTTGATAAAGGCAACAGTTGGTGTGAACAGTTCCGTTCATACCGACCCAATTCACCTGTTAGGGAAATCTCTAGAAGTATCCGTAGGCATACCATTGGGTTATATATCTTTGCGATGGTATCAGTGGCTAGCAGTATGCTTGTAAACCCATAAGGTATGGTTTTATTTTGCTGGGTAAATATATCTGCGGATCGTGACATATTTGCAGGTGTCCGAACAGGCCTTTGTTCGACCCTGCCTAGTGATGCGGTTTTGAATCCATGTACCGTAGATGCTCAAATACCATGGAGCCGTGGCCTGCTCAATTAGTCCCCTCGGTCTCTAAGCAAGGGGACAGTGCTTACGCCGTTTCAGTCCCGTATCAAAAGCTAAAAAGCATTACATCTCTTAGCGGCGGTATCAGAACTGGCAGGATGCTGGTAAACCCATAAGATCGGATTTTATTTTTCTGTAAGGATCCATTTTCATTGCTGGTTTTATTGTTTGATACGTATTGACTGTTATTTGCTTGGTTTTGACCACTTGTTATGTGTCAGGGTTCGCTTAAATAGATGTCAAGGATTTAGTGCCAGTTAGTGTTGTTCAATTCATATTGACAGCTGTTTCGTTAATACCCATCACCATATATTTAGTTTGTTAAGATGTGGCCGTTTGACCCAATGCAATGACGCCGCCTTACATCGATGCACAGCAGGTGCTATAATACCATGAAACCGTGGCCTGCTTCGAAGGTTCCTTAGGCTGCTAGAAGACAGTACCATCCGGGGAGTTAAAACATTATAAAGTTTTCTACTGCTTACTTCATTTCACATTATCGTTTGTCGATTTGATTCATTGCAACCAAAACCATTGGAAAATTTCCGGAAAGTGTTATTCTGTTCACAGAAAGAAAGAATCTTTTTTGTTTCAGGATGAATGATTGAGTCATCAAAACCATTACTATGCACTGCTCTAAAAATGTGCCTGCTGCCGTCTTAAAATCAGCACGTTTCGAACGACGTTTGAAATTTCCAATCACCTTGCGCCGTTCTTTGTGTCTTTCCAAGTTACCGTCCAAGTCGACATATCTTTGCGAAAAATCATCAGTCTGAACTTGCTTAAGTCGATATCTGTTTGAGCCTTGCTGCATGACCAGTTTATATGCATAACATAATATATCCTGTATTAATTAGCTTTTTAAGAGATTTCGCTTATGTGGCTCGCGATCGCAGCACCAGGAAGTTCATGTGTCATGTCTTTCGGTGTGACACGCCCGCTTCCACGATCGCTAATGCTCTTCGCGACATTTGTAAACGGCTGATGCAGGAACGCCGCTCGAACGTTCGACAGCAGTTCACATCGTCTAGCGCAGCTGCTCTCACAGGTATTACCGTTTCTCTGCCGTTTATCTTGTTCTGATACGTTTCTTCGTTTCAAGACCAAGGGAGGGGCATCACCTGTATTGCTTTTGCCTTTATTTGTTGTGATCGTCGTCGTGAACTTTTTGCATATACAAAATGCCTCTAGTTTATGATGGCAGCTTTTTTCTGCATTTCCACACCTGTTATTGCATCTCATGAAGAGCATTTACTCTCCACAGGTAGATCTATCTCATTTTGTTCATTCACATTTCAAGTCAAGATGGAAATAGGCGTTAAGCGTTAGGACCACTTACCGAACGATTCAATTTTTCCCCTTCAGTTATCCTCAATAGACGTAAATATTATGAATAGAAGTTATTTTTGTAAGGGGTAATGGATGAGCAGAAATCCTCTACTCCAATTTTCAAGCTAAGGACAGACGTCGATCAGGAGGCTAATAGCGGAAATGTAGACGGTAGAATCAGTTTCCTGTGCTGAGATAGCAATTGTTCATTTTTCGATGCAGTGACTAGTGTTTGTTAAGCGAATGATTGCTAGCATTGATCACAACTTGTAGAACGTATCCTGGTTTTCTGGTCGACACGGACTAGCTCACGGACTGTTATGAAATTTTTTTTGCAAGACTGCTTTGTCAAATTTTTGCAGATGTCAACTTCGTTTGGTTTTAAATTTACTGAAGATCTAATTCGCGACAGATCGATCGTGTTTGCTAAAGCATAGCTCATTTAGATTTTTTGAAAAGTGTTGTTCATTTATTTCATTTATCGTCCCAGGAATGCGGCATGCTGTACAAAGCACCGGAAATAGGAACGATGCCTTTGACACACTAATTAAGCCGAGGTAGTTAAGCTGTACCCCTCCGTTACCACTCACGACTTGTCGTTGACCTTTCAGTTTTGTTGTGTAGGATGGGTTCTTCATATCGTCTGACATCGGTGCATGAATAAGGTGCCTTTCTTGACTGTGTTTCACATGAAAGCTTTCCTTCAGCGGAGCTCGCTTTTCGTAATATCACCATCGGTATCACCTGCTTTGCTGGCCTCTAGAAAACCGGGTCCTCGTCCATGCCGTGGCAGGCATTGTTTCAAGAACTATATTGAATAGCAGAAGGATGCCGCGTCTCGCTGATGGACTCCACGGTTAATAGGAAACCATTCAGACGGTATTACTTTGATTTCAGCGACATCCTTTCGACTCTTTCTGTTTACATCTCTTCCAAAATGGAAACAGATTGTTGAAATGCCCTACGGCGTAACATTTGAAGATTGTCGAACTATTTGCAGATTGGACTGTTGCTTTAAATTCGACGTTTAAGAACCATTGATCTTCCCAAATTGCTTTGTTCCAGTGTTTTACACGTGAAAGTTCTAAGCTCGATTTTGTGTTTTTCGTCGCCTCTGACAGTTAACTGTGTTGTGCATATGGCGTTAGGTTCGGTTACCGTTATAACAGACGGCTCCATTGTTTGAAGGCCTCGTTGTATTGAATATTTTGATTAGGCAGTATAATCTTGTGAGATTATTGTGTAATGATTAACCGTACATTGTGATTGTAGACTCTTTCCCGACTCCAATGGAAGAACCAAAGAAGGTAATACGATGCCATTTCTTAGGTGTCACCCAGGTACCAAAAGCTACAGGTAAGTGCAAATGCCAGTGCCAGGCGGCAGCTGCTTCTTACTGTCATCGTTAGAAATATGTCGTATAGGAATCGAGATTCTAAATGAGGCGGTGGACCGTCTTGTTGCTCAAGTACAGACCGACCGATGGATCCTAGTCGACGTCAGCATTTCTCCTTCGACCATAATTATTACAGAAGTCGGAGGTTCGAAAATTGCCGAATGCCGCGTTCGCTTCTTATCGTTCCTGGGCATCGGCCGCGACGCTAAGTACGTTAGAGATCCTTTCGCCTTTTGTAACTGTTGTCTTTCGGTTTTCTGTTTATTAATGACGGTTGTATGCAAATGAGATCCCTTCTCCACCACTATTGTGCAGTCTCATATTGGCCATCATAATATCCTTAGTACACTGAGTCATATAAGCAATACTGCATACTGTTCTGCAGCATTAACCATTTAATACCCATGTTAGAATAATCTTTTGATATACGAATATTTTCGGTGTTTAATGGCAGACTGTGGTGGAATTAATGTCAAATTTACTAGTGTTTCTTTATCTCTGTTCGTTCTCACTTTGATAATGAGTCGATAATTTCAGTGTTATCCGAAGAGTTTCTCTAAATGAGCTTCGTGAAATAGTTTTGCTGTCTCCAATCATAAGGGCCAAATTGTTCTTGTTGATAGTGTTATTCTCATTCGATGTCCTGGTACCGGTACCGAGTACACAATTCAACCATATGCTGTATTCTTCCAACATCTGAATGTCACCGACCAGGCATGAAATCTTAAAATGAAGCGATCGGTTGACCGAGCAGTGGGAATTTCTGGTGCTTATCCCCATTCGGCGATATTTCATCTAGGAGAAGAGAACTTATCCCGATCCCTAATGGGAAGATTTGATCAACCTCCCGTTTTGTCTTCAAAAAGCAGTATCGATCATGTGAAATTATAATAATGAAATTCATCTTCTGTCCAGAGGGACGATGGCGGACGTAAAACGTCGTTATAAAACGTGTTAGCCCTGCATTTCCACCATTTTGTATTCTATTGATGCTGAGCAGTCATTCGTTTATCTGCATTGCTTGATTTATCTATGCAGATTGGTTTCATAGATTAAACGCGGTGATTTTCAGTCCTTCAGTCCAGTAGATGGATATATGCAACATTTAGCATGTAATTTATTTTGCATCATAATCTAGTGCCTAGAATAATATGTGTGTATAGTATAGAGGATTTAAGACAGTGGCACGAATTTCACTAATTCGGCTTCAAACTTGGATGCGCTGTTTCGAATTCAAGCATGGCTTAAAGATTTCTCTTTTACTCTTGATTCCCTTTAGCTACTTATTCATTCCACTGTGCTTCAGCGCAGCCAGCCGTGAAACGATTAATATGTCACCGATACGAGACGTTAAATGCATTATTTATTCTGATAGCTTGAAGGATAAGTGGCTTTTATATTTGTGATCGTCCTTGCTCTAGTTGCTAATTATCTCTGGTTTTTGATTTACTGATCTCAGCTTTCCACTGCATATGTTGTTATGCAACGATTGCTGATCGTAAGTGGGTATAATTCCTTTCCTAGTGCGTGGTCCGCGTTGCCTTCCAGAGTCCTAATCCCTTCATATGGTATGAACTGAAACTTATCTGTGGTTCACCCAATCCCTTGATACTCTCGTCTAACTGGATTGTTATTAAAACGATCCCTGTTCTTAAGCTTCAGTATTGTTGTGCATATTTAAGTTTTCGCCGTAGCTTTGATGTAGGTTGAAACTTGGTCAGTACTGCGGTCAAAACTACACATTGCCAATTTCCACTGAAATTTATATTTAATAATAATAAGAATATATTAATAATAATTAATTTCAGTTTATGCTTGTATGAAAAGATTAACACTC